GCCTGCAGGAGAAACGAGTCTCCCTTCTTGAGAGTTATTCAGCAAGCCTGACCTAACTAGAAGGTCTAGCAAGTATTGAGGTGATAACGCATATGTAAAATAGTTGGTTGGATATGTGTAACAGTTTGAGATTATGGGCAATGCAGAAGAAAATAGATAAATGACTGGCTAGGAGATGTGGACATTTTGCTGGAGGCTTGAGGCTCGCTTCTGGAGGACCTTGACCTCACTTGAGTGCCAGACATCGCAGGGGGAAGCCGCGCTCCGTTGAGCTCCCGTCAGAAGGGAACCCCTAGTGATATATCTCTAAGAGAAGAGAAGTGTGCAGACGTGCCAGCTGTGGAATCGAGCTGGGGACGTGTGGTCTCAAGTCGTGGACGATAATTAGTGAATATTAAGCCGCCCGGAGGCATTATTGTGGGCCGTGGGAGCGCCCTGACCAGACGCCGTCAGAGGGAAAGCGCCCTCGACCAATTAATCTGTGGTAAGCACGATATACGCCAGTTCATAGTGATCACTTGTAGTTGGTCGTGTGCCCAGCGACAGTAGCAATGTTTATTTATAAGTTAGACATGTTTTAATAAGGCAGAAGGCCTGAAATAGGAGAGTGAAGAGGGAGGAACACGGAGCGACGTCCGTCCTCTCTGAGCGCTGGCGGACGACTGAGGGAGCCGGCTCCGGATGGAGGAAGACCCTCCCAGCGAGTGAGGACGCCGCCGCCAGGCGAGGTGGAGTATGGACCCGCCCAAAACGGGGGAGTCCACTCTCACTGTATGTAGAGGACAGATAGAGGTTTGAGGCAAGCATATTGTGTGAATATTTTTTGTTTATGTGTTAAAGGGGAACATTTTATTGGAGTGTCGATGGGTTGCAGGTTTGTCTTTTGGGGAAGAAGTTGCTGAGAACTTCGAAGCCAGCAGATGAAGTAGCTGATGAGACTCCAAGGTAGTGGAGCAGAGGACCTCGAGCTGTGAGGAGAAGCAGCAGTGAAGAGGAGTGTCACGTGCTTCTGTAGAGGTGGTGAAGCACCATAGTTACTCGAGGAAACTTCATGGTGTAGCAGCCTGGAGGAGCTGCAGAGGATCCTGGTAGTGAAGCCCGGAAGAACCTAAGGATATTAGGGTTGTGAACTTCCAGAGGTGGAGGGGGAAGTTCTGGTGGATTACTTATAGGGAGTTGATAGTGTTTGGTTGTCATTAGCGTGCAAGACGCAGTGAGAGGTGAGTGACTGTTTGCATTCTTATGTCAAGGAGTGATTTAGTCTGAAGCTTAGAGTTGCAGTCGTAGGCTTGATTACCTACAGATGTATGTGCTCGAGGACTGACAGTGATCGATTAATCATTGTTGTGTATCAATGAACATTTATACTGATATATGTTATTGCATTCAAATGCTGGTATTCTATATATACATTATCTTGCTGATAGTGCAACAGTGTATGTAGGCTTGACCAACTTGAGGAGGTTAATAGTATCAGGTGGTGAACCAGGAGATAGGATACCACTGGATAAGCTGATAATAGAGTTCTGATGGTGTTGGAGTGCAACCTGATTGCGATTATCGAGTATAGGATTCATTATTATTATATGTGTGTATGTATCGTGTATGTGCTTTGTCCAGTAAATGTGTCACAATTTGCTGGTGTTTGCCCTTGTCCTAGTGAGGCTTCCCAGGAGGTAGTAAAGAAGGAGAGAGAGAGAGAGAAAGAACCATGAACCACTGCTGTGGACAGGGTAGGAGGTAATACTAGTAAGTCATAGGGGGATTGAGGAGATCATATCTCATAAGGAGAGAGTGGGGAGTCACAGCGGCTCGAGTGGGTGTGTGCACGTGACGACGAGGCTAAGTGTTGGAGCCGCATCCCCTGAACGTGTGACGTTGAGCCCCTCTCCAAGAGCCAGAAGCGCCAAGGGTGATCTCCTAGTATAAGCACTCTACCGAGTTGTGGGTTGGGTTGTCCGTAGAGGAGGATCAACGACGACTACACCAACCAACCCACAGTCTATAATAATATATATATATATTACATATATATATATATATATATATATATATATATATATATATATATATATATATATATATATATATATATATATATATATATATATATATATATATATATATATATATATATATAATATATTAGTATATTTTGGTAGCAGTCTTGCAAACATATGTTGTTATATATGACCGAAAGGGTAAGATAAATGATTCTAACACGAATCTTCTCTATATTTCTTATGTTTTTCTTCACTGTCGGGGGGTAGTTGAAAAATTAACTCTCTAAAGTTCATTTTCTCACTTTATTTATGGTCTGACGCCTAGAAGCGTTACGCAAGAACACTTCTTACATTTTCAAAGACAATTTTACATACTCAGATCGTAATTATATTCGTTTTTGGGTGAGGTGATACGATACAAATCAATGGGAAAGACAGAACACGAAACAATGGGTATATTGCGTGTTTTATCTTCTTGCTTCTATGCTTGTTCGGGGCCTTGAGGTGGGTAGAATGCAATTATGTGTTAATTGGCTGTTGATTGCTGGTTTTAAGTTTTTGATGTGTAGTGCCTCGCTGATGTCGAGTCTCCTGTTGTCGTTGTATCTGTCGATAATTTCTGTGTTGTTTGTTAAGATTTCTCTGGTGATGGTCTGGTTATGTCTTTTCCCATTGATTTGTATCCTATCACCTAACCCAAAAACGAATATAAGCACGATCTGAGTATGCAAAATTGTCTTTGAAAATGTAAGAAGTGTTCTTGCGTAACGCTTCTAGGCGTCAGACCACAAATAAAGTGTGAAAATGAACTTTAGAAAGTTAATTTTTCAACTACCCCCCGACAGTGAAGAAAAACATAAGAAGTATAGAGAAGATTCGTGTTAGAATCATTTATCTTACCATTTCGGTCATATTCAACAACATATACAATGTGTGTGTTTGTGTGCGTGTCTGTGTGTTAAAGATAAATAAATATTTACATTTTTTTATGCTTGGAGTTTCACAGGTGTGTCTTGGGGTACCGTAGTGTGTTGAACAGCATGATGTTCACACAGTTGACTGCTGCAAAGGGTTTTGGTTTGAGTTTATGGCGTCATAACATGCAGTGATACACTAGTAAACTGTACTACGGCAACCCGTCCTCTTAAAAATAACGTCACTTTTGGCTGGTATGCGCGCTATGGCCAAATTTGGACGTAATTTGAAATGAAATCGACTCACAAAAGTGACGTACTGATCCGTTTTCTGTTTGAGTCGTCCGGCCTACTCGGACACGCTAGGAGAAGAAACTTTCAATTCACGTTTTTCATACCGTTTTGAAACTTTATGAGAATTTCCTGCCCACCTTACCTATCAGAGGACCCTTAACTTACTGTTGTTGAAAAAAAAAAATCCCAAATTTATTTTCAAATTGTTTTCATTTTCAAATTATGTCCAATTTCGGCCATACTGGTCAACGGCCAAAAGCGACGATATTGTTAAGAGGACAGGTTGCCCCGACCAAGTACACTGTGGTTTACTTGTGTAAATTTGTGTAAATTCCGCCTGAAACTAGGCGGAGGGAACAGGAGGCCAGACACAGGGTACCGATTGGAAGACGAACTCCTCCACGAAACGGACAGCGAGAAAGTTGATCCAACACCAAACCTGGGTGAGAGTATGGAGGGTGATGTTCTCACAAGATCTTAGCCTTTGAACAAGATGTTCTCACAATAACATAACCAGAAGTGACCCAGAGCCAGCACTTCTCACTATTTAGGGTCACACTTCTCGCTACCAGCCCTCACTATTTAGGGACACGCTTCTCACTACCAGCCCTCACTATATAGGAACACGCTTCTCGCTACCAGCCCTCACTATTTAAATATATGCCCTCACTGGTTTAAATATCAACCAGGTATCAACCAGGTGTCGTGTTCCACACTATGACAATCACACTATGCGGGCAACACTCTTCCTGGCAAGCATGAGTACCAAGTAACAATAACTCACCGCAACGATAGTGTTATCAATGGTGAGTACTATATATCACCGCCTGGCAACCCATTCTCTTGCCAGCCAAGCATCACCCACCTGTTAACTGTCCATCGTAGGAAATCACAGTCTACTGCACTGCCACCTTCTGGTCAGCGGTGACCGTCACTGCCTGCAGATGACAATCCCTAAACTGGCTAGCTAGGGCTAACTGGCTCTGTAGCCTCGTTTCTCACTGACTGTCTCTCCTCCACGCTCACATTAGCCTGGGACAGGAGGGTGGGGGGGGGGGGGGGCTCAGAGCCACGTCCGGATTTAAAGACTGCGGCTTAATTATCCTTATGACTGAGCCAAATTAGGCTGCAATTGTAGCCTATAAAGCTTTTTCCTTCGCCTGCAAGGAGTGCCGGATGTCCCTCGGCTTCTCTTGGGCATAATCCTTCTCTTGGGTCCGGCTTATACCTGAAAGCCTCGTTTAGATAAGACCCTGCATCTTCATCCGGCCTGTCTAGGGCCTTCTGGGGCACTCTAGGGCACGAATAAGGTCACTCTGGGGCACGAATAACGTCTTTGTTCCAATCAGAAGCCATCAGGTGCCGCCCCCCCCTCCCCTGATTGGGTAACCGCCACGGGCATATAAGCATACATTATCCGGGGGGGCCCTCAGCCCCCCTAAACATCCGGCCCCCAGCCGTCGCCCCCCCTCACCCTGGGGGCCCGCGAAATTCAGGCGCCAATTGGCACGGCGCCAAAAATCCAATTTAAAGATTCATGATTAGCCTATCACCAGCAAAATTTACAGAATATAAAATTAGGGTTATTACTCTACAACTCTATGCATCCTAATTCCAGCTGGAATTACCTTGTTCGATCTGGAATAGTTATAAGGCTGGAATACCACTCTTGTTGAAGGTAGAGGAGTGTTATGAGTTGACTGTAGGGCCGTGACACTACGTATGAATGTCTGTATGTATGTATGAATGTCTGTGTATATACATATGTATATATGTCAACCCACCGCAGCTGCTGACGGTGAGTGCGGAGAAGCGCATCAGGTGCCTGGAGGAGCTGGTGCAGCTGCCCTACGCCGCTGCGGTCTCCTTGGACGACGTTATCCACAAGAGGATCAAACCTGCGTTTACACCCCCGGTGAGTGTGTGGGGGGGGGGAGGGGGGATTATGGAAGGAGACAGTGATTTAGGGAGGAGGAATGTTGGGGAAAGTGAAGGGGGGGGGGGGTAGGCTCTGTTGTTGTTGTTGTTGATGATACTTGAGGTGGTGTGTTGTGGGAGACATCTGGCGGCGGCGTTCACCAACTGCCTGGAAGCTTGGCTCACTTCTGTATGGTCCTGTGAGAGGCGTGTAACTTGTTCTTTCACCCCCCATTACCCACATCCCCCATTAGCTACACCCCCCATTAGTTACCTTATAGTGTATACACACACCCATTAGCCACACCACAGTGTATACACACACACCCATTAGTCACACCTCAGTGTATACACACACACCCATTAGCCACCCCCACAGTGTACTCACACACACCCATTAGCCACACCACAGTGTACCCACACACCCATTAGCCTCCCCCACAGTGTACCCACACACCCATTAGCCACACCACAGTGTACCTACACACCCATTAGCCACCCCCCAGTGTCCTCACACACCCATTAGCCATCCCCACAGTGTACTCACACACCCATTAACCACCCCCCACAGTGTACCTACACACCCATTAGCCTCACCACAGTGTACCCACACCCATTAGCCACCCCCACAGTGTACCCACACACCCATTAGCCACCCCAACAGTGTACCTACATACCCATTAGCCACCCCAACAGTGTACCTACATACCCATTAGCCACCCCAACAATGTACCTACACACCCATTAGCCACACAATAGTCTACCTACACACCCATTAGCCACACCACAGTGTACCTACACACCTATTAGCCACAGAAGCCACATTAACAACGCTGCCCTTTTGACATTTTGGTCAAAAACCATTTTCCTGTTTTTGTTTTTAAATGTGTTTTGTGATGTCTCTCAAACTGTTAAGTTCACTCAGGTCCAAACAGGAGTGTAGGTACAGTGTAGTGGGTGTGGTGACGCACGTCCAAACCGGACGTGTTTACGTCCTTTTATTTGTCCATGAGATTGGACTTTTTGGTCTTTAAACTGTTGACACTTCTTGGTAATTATTCAGATATTCAATGTTTATCATTCTCCTACTCTCTTTGTTCAGTTGCTATGGTCCTTGTACTCACCATACACACCCTGTACTCACCATACACACCCTGTACTCACCATACACACCCTGTACTCACTACACACCCTGTACTCACCATACACACTCTGTACTCACCATACACACCCTGTACTCACCATACACACCCTGTACTCACCACACACCCTGTACTCACCACACACACCCTGTACTCACCACACACACACCCTGTACTCGCCACACACACCCTGTACTCACCACACACACCCTGTACTCACCACACACTCCCTGTACTCACCACACACTCCCTGTACTCACCACACACTCCCTGTACTCACCACACACTCCCTGTACTCACTACACACACCCTGTACTCACCACACACACCCTGTACTCACCACACACACCCTGTACTCACCACACACTCCCTGTACTCACCACACACTCCCTGTACTCACCACACACACCCTGTACTCACCACACACACCCTGTACTCGCCACACACACCCTGTACTCACCACACACACCCTGTACTCACCACACACTCCCTGTACTCACCACACACTCCCTGTACTCACCACACACTCCCTGTACTCACCACACACTCCCTGTACTCACCACACACTCCCTGTACTCACTACACACACCCTGTACTCACCACACACACCCTGTACTCACCACACACACCCTGTACTCACCACACACACCCTGTACTCACCACACACCCTGTACTCACCACACACCCTGTACTCACCACACACTCCCTGTACTCACCACACACACACCCTGTACTCACCACACACACCCTGTACTCACCACACACACCCTGTACTCACTACACACCCTGTACTCACCACACACACCCTGTACTCACCACACACACCCTGTACTCACCACACACCCCCTGTACTCACTACACACCCTGTACTCACCACACACTCCTAGTACTCACCACACACCCTGTACTCACCACACACTCCTAGTACTCACCACACACCCTGTACTCACCACACACACCCTGTACTCACCACACACCCTGTACTCACCACACACCCTGTACTCACCACACACACCCTGTACTCACCACACACACCCTGTACTCACCACACACACCCTGTACTCACTACACACACCCTGTACTCACCACACACACCCTGTACTCACCACACACACCCTGTACTCACCACACACTCCCTGTACTCTAGAGAAGGAGTTGGCACCTTTACAAAGGTGCCTTTTGAGACCTCTTGCCCTTAAGCCAAAGGTCAAAGCAAAGTTTGAAGAGGGGGGAACGATATCCGTTTTCTATACTCGTGAGGCACACTCAATCATATAGCAACACCAGGTACACAGGTTCCAACATTGTGTTACTCATGTACTCAGCTAGTGAGTACAGTGTACTATACTCACTGGCTGATTGGTGTCGAGTGGTAGTTAATTCTTTAAAGGCTGTGGCGGTGTTATTTGTGTTATTTGATTATATATATATATATATATATATATATATATATATATATATATATATATATATATATATATATATATATATATATATATATATATATGCGAACAAGCCTGAATGGTCCCCAGGACTATATGCGAATGAAAACTCACACCCCAGAAGTGACTCGAACCAATACTCCCAGAAGCAACGCAACTGGTAACTACAGGGCGCCTTAATCCACTTGACCATCACGGCCGTCAAAAGGAAGTGATAGCCGAGGCTATTTGAGCCACTTCCCCGACGGCAACTCGGATGGTAATCTTACCACACACGTCAGGCTTGTTCGCATTTGTGTTCCTCACGTGTGCCCCAAAGAATGAGGTGATTTGGTGAAATGCTATGCCCAAGATTACCATCCGAGTTGCCGTCGGGGAAGTGGCTCAAATAGCCTCGGCTATCACTTCCTTTTGACGGCCGTGATGGTCAAGTGGATTAAGGCGCCCTGTAGTTACCAGTTGCGTTGCTTCTGGGAGTATGGGTTCGAGTCACTTCTGGGGTGTGAGTTTTCATTCGCATATAGTCCTGGGGACCATTCAGGCTTGTTCGCATTTGTGTTCCTCACGTGTGCCCCAAAGAATGAGGTGATTTGGTGAAATGCTATGCCCAAGATTACCATCCGAGTTGCCGTCGGGGAAGTGGCTCAAATAGCCTCGGCTATCACTTCCTTTTGACGGCCGTGATGGTCAAGTGGATTAAGGCGCCCTGTAGTTACCAGTTGCGTTGCTTCTGGGAGTATGGGTTCGAGTCACTTCTGGGGTGTGAGTTTTCATTCATATATATATATATATATATATATATATATATATATATATATATATATATATATATATAATATATATATATATATTTAAAATCCCTTTTTTTAAGTTTAAAAACTTGTAACCCAAGATTTAAAACATATTTTTTAATTGACAATGAAAAAATAAATTCTTGAAACATGTCCAATGCTAATCATTTAATATATAATTCAATTTCAACTGTCTCCTCCTCTTCTACTTCCTCCTACTGCTCCTGCTCCTTCTTCTGCTCCTCCTGCCTCTTCTTCTGCTCCTCCTGCTCCTTCTTCTGCTCCTCCTGTTCCTTCTTCTGCTCCTCCTGCTCCTGCTGCTCCTGCTCCCGCCCACCAGAAAGACCACCTCAACTGCGACCCGACCTTCGAGCTGGAGGAGATGATCATAGAGTCGAGACCCTTGCACAAGAAGAAGAAGAGACTGTCCAAACAAAAGAGCATCAGGGAGACGCAGAGCTCCATATCCGGCACCACTGTGAGTAGCACCTCTCGCCGGGGGAACCGCTTTAGAATGGGTTCAGCGAGGCGTTTTTTTTTTTTAGTTTTTTAACAGTTTTCTTGCGCTGGATGGGATTGGAGAACATATACAGTACGGCGGCGCGGGTTGGGGGGGGCACGGAGGGCTTGGGGGGGGGCACGGGGGGCGCGGGGGGGGGGAGGGGGGCTTGGGGGGGGGGCACGGGGGGCTTGGGGGGGGAGGCGCGGGGGGATGTTTTGATGTGATTTTATTGCTTTGCGTGGTGGATATTGCTCGGGGATTTTTTGTATTCACTTATTTTTCACGTGGGGAAAACATGCGGTGTGGGTGTGGGTGTGTGTGTGTGGGTGTGTGTGTGTGTGTGTGTTTTTGGTGGTTGTGAGGTGAGAACTGGTGTTTGCTTGTTTGGCCAACGTGTATGTGTTCAGGAATATTTGATATATAGAGACTTTCAAACACTCACGCGCGCGCGTAAACACACATACACACACACACATACACACACACACACACACACACACACACACATATAGGGATAGGTGTAGGGAGCAGGAGGCCAGATACAAGGTATCATCTGGGAGAGGAAATTCTTCAGGAGTCAGAGAAGGAAAAAGACTTGGGGGTTGATATCACGCCAGACCTGTCTCCTGCAGCACATATCAAGCGGATAACATCAGCGGCATATGCCAGGCTGGCCAACATACGAACGGCATTCAGAAACTTGTGTAAAGAATCATTCAGAACTTTGTATACCACATATGTCAGGCCAATCCTGGAGTATGCAGCCCCAGCATGGAGTCCATATCTAGTCAAGGATAAGACTAAACTGGAAAAGGTTCAAAGGTTCGCCACCAGATTAGTACCCGAGCTGAGAGGTATGAGCTACGAGGAGAGACTACGGGAATTAAACCTCACTTCGCTGGAAGACAGAAGAGTTAGGGGGGACATGATCACCACATTCAAGATTCTGAAGGGAATTGATAGGGTAGATAAAGACAGTCTATTTAACACAAGGGGAACACTCACAAGGGGACACAGGTGGAAACTGAGTGCCCAAATGAGCCACAGAGATATTAGAAAGAACTTTTTTAGTGTCAGAGTGGTTGACAAATGGAATGCATTAGGGGGTGATGTGGTGGAGGCTGATTCCATACACAGTTTCAAGTGTAGATATGATAGTGCCCGATAGGCTCAGGAATCTGTCCACCTGTTGATTGACGGTTGAGAGGCGGGACCAAAGAGCCAGAGCTCAACCCCCGCAAACACAACTAGGTGAGTACAACTAGGTGAGTACACAATGTGTTACTTCCGGGTTGTTGAAATGTAGATATTATAGAGCCCAGTAGGCTCAGGAATCTGTACACCAGTTCATTCACGATTGAGAGGCGGGACCAAAGAGCCAGAGCTCAACCCCCGGAAGCACAAATTGGTGAGTATAAATAGGTGAGTACACACACACACACACACCTGATGCACCGCATGGATGTATGTTGTATAAGATTCGCTACTCGGAATAAAAAGTTCCAAGTAACACGGGCTATGGTGAGCCCTCAGTAGTACTTGCTCGCTGTTTGTGTAGCAGGTCGTGCAAGGTAATTGGAGCGCCTGTTGGCTAGGTAGTTGATTGCAATGACGGTATCAGGAAGGGCCTCACGATCCAGCACCAGCAGGGAAGAGGAGGAGGAGGAGGATAGATTTGTAGACTAGCCAGTCGTAGAGCCAGTAGACGGGAGCCGGTCGGCCGAGCGGACAGCACGCTGGACTTGTGATCCTGTGGTCTTGGGTTCGATCCCAGGCGCCGGCTAGAAACAACGGGTAGAGTTTCTTTCACCCTATGCCCCTGTTACCTAGCAGTAAAATAGGTACCTCGGTGTGAGTCAACTGTCAAGGGCTGCTTCCTGGGGGTGGAGGCCTGGTCGAGGACCGGGCCGCGGGGACACTAAAAAAAAAAAGCCCCGAAATCATCTCAAGATAACCTCAAGAAGAAGAAACTAATAGAAAATTTGCAGAGAGGAGGAGCGTTTGTATGGAGGATCTAATCCAAGGGATTAAAAGTGAGATATTTCAATAAACAAGATGAGGTTGAGAGACAAAAACAAGAGATTAGGTACTATATTCAGGAAGAAATTAAGAAGAGCAGAGAAGAATGGGAGAGTGAATGTGCTCGGCTCACAAATGAATTAGGAAGGCGTAACAGCATGGCTAGAGACAGTGGATTAGTGGGAAAGGGATTAGTGAGTGTGGGAGGGATGCGGGGTATCCAGGGGAGGGGCTACCAGCATGAGGGTGAATCACTGAGAAGGCGGTCAATTATCCTCCAAGGATTATCCGAATCTGGGGCACCATAAAGACAAGAAAGGATAGACATGGACAAATATGAATTGCATGAGAGTTTAAGATGTATTAAAGTCGAGAGCCGGTCGGCCGAGCGGACAGCATACTGGACTTGTGATCCTGTGGTCCTGGGTTCGATCCCAGGCGCCGGCGAGAAACAATGGGCAGAGTTTCTTTCACCCTGATGCTCCTGTTACCTAGCAGTAAAATAGGTACCTGGGTGTTAGTCAGCTGTCACGGGCTGCTTCCTGGGGGTGGAGGCCTGGTCGAGGACCGGGCCGCGGGGACACTAAATCCCCGAAATCATCTTAAGAAGAGAGAGATGGCAGGAGACAAGGCGGGACTCAGCTACAGGGTTGGACCTTTCAATTGTACCAAGAATAGACCTGTTCTGGTACAGTTCTCTAATGAAGAGGCAGTGGAGTACATAATGAAGAACAAGCTCAGAGGCAGCAAAGTCCATTACAATGTGTTCATTGAGAGGTATATGACGAAAGATGAACAAATAGCCCGCAAGGCGAAATGGCCTACACGGCACCGAAACAACCCCCCCTAGCCTCCGAAGTAGCCCCCACCACTCTTTCCCAGGTCACACACTCCCTCCCCAACTCTGCCTTCCCATCCCTCCCCCTCTGCTTCAACCCCCAACAACTCCCCCTGCCCCTTCCACACTTGCACTCAACTCAACCTGCTACACCACACCCTTCAATGATCACATCAGGCCAAGCCATACCCTCCCCAAACCCATCTTCCTCCCCAACTACCCCCTCCAACTACCCCGCCCCCTTCTATCCCATTGTCTTCAATTCCACCTGTTCCATCCCAGCTCCCACTGCCCCCCCTCTCTTCCCCTCACCCCCAAACCCCACCCAACCCTCACCCCTCCTCTGCACCCCATCTCCCATATAATCCCCTCACCTTGGGGACCCCCTAACCCCTTCCCCTCTTCTATCCCAAAACCTATTCCTGATTCCCCCCTGACTAATACACCCTCTCACCCACGCTGAGGGGCAGCGCAGGCCCTCAGCGTGCCTATGGCAATGATCTTCAATGAGTCACTTATGTCGGGAGAATTGCCCAGTTGCTGGAAGAGGGCAAATGTCGTACCTATTTTCAAGAAAGGTGATAGGGAGGAGGTACTTAACTACAGACCCGTATCACTGACAAGCATCCCCTATAAAATATTTGAGAGAATAATTAGGCTACGACTGGTTGCACACCTGGAGAACGTTAGGTTTGTGAACAAACACCAACATGGGTTCTGGAAAGGGAAATCGTGCCTAACAAACCTTTGGAATTCTATGATAAAATAACAAGGATAAGGCAGGACAGAAAAGGCTGGGCAGACTGTATATTTCTAGACTGCCTTTGATACAGTACCGCATATGAGACTGCTATTCAAACTTGAGAGGCAGGCGGGATTAAGCGGAAAGGCCTTAGCATGGGTAAGGAACTACTTAAGAGGAAGGAGCCAGAGAGTAATGGTAAGGGGCGAGAAGTCGGACTGGCGAACAAGAGCGAGTGGAGTACCTCAAGGATCGGTGCTGGGATCAATTCTATTTCTAATATATGTAAATGATATGTTTACAGGAGTAGAGTCCTACATGTCGATGTTCGCGGATGACGCAAAATTAATGAGAAGAGTTGTGACAGATGAGGATTGTAGGATGCTCCAAGAGGACCTGAACAGGTTGCAGAGATGGTCAGAGAAATGGCTACTGGAGTTCAACACGAGTAAATGTAAAGTTATGGAAATGGGATCAGGTGATAGGAGACAAAAGGAACAGTACACAATGAAGAGGAACTGCCTACCTGTGACGATTCGAGAAAGAGACCTGGGGGTGGATGTAACACCTAATCTAACTTCTGAGGCACATATAAATAGGATAACAACAGCAGCGTACTCTACACTGGCAAAAGTTAGAATATCATTCACAAACCTAAGTGAGGAGGCTTTTAGGGTGCTTTACACTGCCTACGTGAGACCAGTCTTAGAGTATGCCACGCCATCATGGAGCCCCCACCTGAAGAAACACATAAGGAAACTGGAGAAGGTTCGGAAGTTTGCGACGTTTGCGGCTTGTCCCAGAGTTACGAGGGATGGGATATGAAGAGTGCCTGAAGGAACTGAACCTTACGACACTAGAAAAAAGAACGGAGAGGGGGGGATATGATAAGAACGTATAAAATACTCAGGAGAATTGACAAAATGGAAATAGATGAAATATTCACACGGAATAGTAACAGAACGAGGGGACATGGGTGGAAGCTGGAAACTCAGATGAATCACAGAGATGTTAGGAAGTTTTCTTTTAGCGTGAGAGTAGTGGGAAAATGGAATGCACTTAAGGAGCTGGTTGTGGAAGCAAACACTATTCATAATTTTAAAATTAGGTATGATAGGGAAATGGGACAGGAGTCATTGCTGTAAACAACCGATAGCTAGAAAGGCGAGATCCAAGAGTCAATGCTCGATCCTGCAAGCACAAATAGGTGAGTACAAATAGGTGAAAACACACACACACACACACACACACACACACACACACACACACACACACACACACACACACACACACACACACACACACACACACGCCAAGAGTCATTGCTGTAAACAACCGATAGCTAGAAAGGCGAGATCCAAGAGTCAAGAAGTTCAT